TTTCTTTCATTTGGGGTTTGTTTCACCATTTTGGCTGTCTCAGTGGGTTTTGGAGCCTGCTAAATTTTCCCTGTGGTATTGGTGTTCTGCTGTTTGTGGCTCTCTCTACTGCACTTGGATGAGTGTGGGAGGACCCACATTAAACACTACTGTCAAGTCTTACTTACCTAGGTAGATTTTCAAGCCAAGGACAGATTCAGTTATCTTCTAGCCTTTTGTCTGGAGGCTATTAGTCTCAGTTATTTGATGAGCCTCTATTTGTAGCCCACAGCTGAATGAAAAATCCTTCAGCTGTAAGAGGATTTCCAGCAGGTGGGGCACTTGCTCACTATCAGACTTTAGATGTTAATGACCCTCAATTTGCATTTCTTTGGCCTGGCCTGGCGATATTGAATTCCTGCGGCATTGAATTCCTGCGGCATTGAATTCCTGCGGCATTGAATTCCTGCGGCATTGAATTCCTGCGGGAAGGGCCGTTGCTTCTCCTCAGGGCTTTGGGAAGGGGCTCTTTGAGTAATATGACTACTGTCCTGTGAGGGAGTGATTTAGTACAGGACTCCCGGTGTTCAGTGTTCTCCTATCTGTCTCTCAGCTCTCTCCTGAACCAGGAGCCCTGGACTCTCTCCACACAGTTCCAGTTCAGTCTGCCCTCCCTCTGCCAGAGACCAACATGAGTTACTGTAGCTGATTTGGTGCTTTTTAAAACCTCTGCTTATGCACTTTGCTAATACAGCCCTTGTTGTCCATGGCTCCCAGCCCACCCCCATGCATCTCTGCAGTTCCTACCAGGCTCAATTTGGCATCCTTTCTGTCTTTGGTTTTACTGGCTCTCTACCAGCTGCTCTTAGTTAGTTTTTCCCAATGTTTTGTCTTTATTTTAGTTGTAATTCCAGTTTGGTCCTGGGAAACGGTGTGTGTAGCTTCCATTTTCTCTGCCACCATCTCCATTTTTCCCTTAGCTTGGATTTTTTTTTTTTTAGAATATTTGTGTTTTTGTTAATTAATTAATTAATTAATTTTTTTATCCTCACCTGAGGACATTTTTCCATTTTTTGTTCAGGTAGCATGGGAGGGAGAGAGAGGAACAGAGAGAGAGAGAGAAACATTGATGTGAAAGGGATACATCGAGCGGCTGCCACCCGCACGACTGACCAGAGCCGGGGACAAACTGCAACCGAGGTACGTGCCCTTAGCGGGAACCGAACCCGGGTCTCTCAGGACCACAGGCCGACGCTCTAACCGCTGAACCAAACCGGCCAGGGCTTAGCTTGGATTTTGAAGATAATTAAATGAAGGAACTATTTATGGATCTAAAGAATCCAGTAAGGGATGTTGGGACACCCACGGACTAGCAGCAGTGAGTAGGGGGAAGGGAAAGTGTGTTGGAGCTTAGGGAGATCTAGAGCCACGGTCAAAGAATCATCCAAAGGAGGTATGAGCAAAGGATTAACCAACCCTTCCCCCTTCAGCATAAGAATTTGAGCTGTCATTAATTTCCTAATGGTTTCTCTGGTAACTGATGAAAGTTAGATTGTCAACAATGTTAGGAGGCGTTACTTATGCTAAAAGTGACCCCTGGATTGGGAGAATTATAAGGGGAAGCCATACTTTGAACTTCCCTAAGTACAATGATTCTTGTGGCTGGGCATATTCCTTGCTGGGACCTTGGATGCTGTACCTATAAAGTCATTTCAAGAGATGATGCTCCTATGGGATATAAAGTTTTTAAACCAGGGTAGCTTCCTTGCCCCTTGTACCTCTACTGTGATGATATGGACTGCAGCAAAAGCTCCCATTGAGGAGGGATACCTGACACTGCCTTGCTGTGCTTCCTGTCCTAAATCCTTCTGAATAGACTCACTCCAAGTGTGGTCTCTGTCTTTGAGTGAGAATACACAGTTGAATCTAAGAAAACCTTCCTGATGGGCACCTCATGGATACATCCCTGCCAAAACCATAATGTCAAAGCAGTGAGGGGAAGGGGAAGGTACCTCAACTTTCCTTCTGCCCTCCAATCTCTTAATACTCCTCCCTCCCCACATTGACTAATCTAATCACAAAATAGAGGTCAAGCAGAAGGAGTCTGATCATCCCAGCTTACATCGGGTGCTTACCATAGTTTATTGTTCTCATCTTGGTAGACAGTTGGGATATGCATAAAGCTGCTATGAGTATTCATGTGTCAAATAAGTAATACATTTTCCTTTCTCTTGGATTGATTCACAAGAGTAGAATTGCTGGATCATAGAAAAGACAAATGTTTAACTTTTAACATTGCCAGTTTTCCAAAGTGGTTGTATTATTTTATACTTCCCAACAACAAATGAGAGTTCTATTTGTTCCACACCTTTCCAACATTTTGTGTTAAGCTTTTTCATCTGGGCCATTCTAATGACTGTGTAGTGTTATCCTACTGTGATTTTCATTTTCATTTTCCTGATGCCTTATCATATTGAAGACTTTTTCATATATGTGCTTATTTGTCATTCACATATCTTCTTTTATGAAGTGCCTGTTCAAGTTGTTTTAGAACTGGATTAGCTTTGTATTAGTTGTTTTATTATTAAATTTCATGCATTCTTTATATATACTAGATTTGAATCCTTTGTCAGATTTGTGTGTTTCACATTTTTCTCTTAGTTTGTGGCTTGTCTATTAATGGTGGCTTTGCAAAATTTAAAAATATTGATGAAGTTCGATTTAAAATTTTTTTCTTTGTATCTTTTTTTTGCCTACCCAAAGATGTGAAAAAATAGCTGTAGATTATTAAAGTAATGTCCTTTAAAAAAAGATTTTCATTTAAAAATGAAATCCAGTTTGGATGTTTTTCAGATTACTATGTTCTATAGATTGAATGTGTCACCCAAAATTTATATGTTGGAATGTAATCCCCAATGTGATAGTATTTGGAGGTGAGGCCTTTGGGAGGTGATTAGGCCCTGAAGATGGATCCCTCATGAATGAGATTTATTGTGCTTTATAAAAATGGCCCACAGAGCTCCCTTGCACCTTCCGTCATTCAGAACACAGCAAGAAGATGGCCATCTGGGGACCAGGAAGCAAACCTTCCCCAGACACAAGTGATTATACAGTTTCAGGATTATATTTTGTGTTGGGATTCAGAGTGGGGACAGTCATAGTTTCTGGCTGGGCAGTGACAGTGTGGGAAATAAAATGATGTGGAATGCAGGAGGGAATAGTTGCCTTCCTGGGTATGTCAGGGAATATTTTATAGTAGATGTATGTTTGTGCTGGGCTCGAAAAGATTAGGTCTCCATGAGGAGTTGGAGGGAGGACGTATGGAATGGTGGAGAACTAGCAGTAGTGAATATTGCTGAGGCTTTGGGTCTGAGACACACGGAATGGGAGATGAACCTGAAGAGATAGGCAGGACCAGGTCATGAAGTGATGATGACTGCACCTTCCTTTATGACTTCTTTGCAAAAGGTGGAATGAATGACCCTCTACTTGTGCCCAGTTAAGAGGCTCAAGTAGTGGCTCAAGTTGATAGTTTTCAGATTCTCAAGTAGTTGTGCTTCAAGTTGTCAGTCCCCAGTCCTTACCTATTGAACCCGAATCTTTGCAGTGGAGGCTGGGCTGCCCCGGGCTCTGTGGGTGAGTCTGCAGCACAATGGAGTTTGAAAACAATTGGATAGTGAATGAGGAGTAGACAATGAGAAAGCGAGAAGGGCCTTGATCAAGGAGGTGTTGGAAAGTAAATGGTGACTATTCTTTCTGTACCGCAGGCCGATGCTCCAACCGCTCCAACCGCTGAGCCAAACCGGCCAGGGCAAGGTTTTTTTTTTTTTATCCTCACCCGAGGACATTTTTCCATTTTTTGTTCAGGTAGAATGGGAGGGAGAGAGAGGAACAGAGAGAGAGAGAGAAACATCGACGTGAAAGGACACATCGAGTGGCTGCCACCCGCACAACCAACCAGGGCCGGGGACAAACTGCAACCGAGGTACGTGCCCTTAGCGAGAACCGAATCCGGGCCTCTCCGGACCGCAGGCCGACGCTCTAACCGCTGAGCCAAACTGGCCAGGGCTGGTGACTATTCTTGATGACTAAATGTATGTAAGGAATGAAACTGAGAAGATTCTGGCATGAGTAACTTCAAAAATGACATCTATGCCAGTCACCTACGTGGCAACACAGAGTAAGAGATTTGTTGGAGAAAAGAGAGGAAGTTTAGTTATACTTAAATGACTGACTTACTATCAAGAAATAGCTTTTTATATTACCTAGAAATAATACTAACTTTGGGAGAATATGGTTCTATCAATTCAAACACTGCTGATAATAAAATACTTTCATTATATAATGTTTATTCTTTTCAAAGGACATATTCAGCTCACATTTGTTAGGCACTAAGATTTGTTGCATTCTTACTATGGACTTTTAGGCTTATTGTTGTTGTTTTTCCCCTCCTCCTCCTCCTCTTCCTCCTTCTCCTTTCCCATTATTATTATTTTGCAGATGGTGAAACTGAAGCTCAGAGAGGTTAATTGATTTTCCTAAGGCTATTTTAGGAACTAGAGAGAGTCTGGATTCAAAACTCTTGACTTTGCTGAGTGTAGGTCTCTTCAGTACCATACAGCTGCCTCTCATAACAGGGATGGGCAGGGGTTTTTCTTATTATTTATATATGAACAACTTGAAGTCTACAGAAACTGTGATTTGCCCAAGATTCTAAGCTGATAAGTACAGAGCAGGGACTAGAGCCCAGATCACTGCTTCCTGGCCACTGTTTCTTTCTTTTTTATTTCACTTTAACTTCCTGCTTTCCATATATTTTAATATATTTTCCTCCTCGTTTTATGTACAATTGAACCATTCCTTTCTCGAATAGGAAGAGTTTAGAGAATGATAAATATTGTTTTTAAGGGAAGAGATAGTGTTTGAGAAGCAAAACCAACCTTCAAGGCTCAGTTGCTTTGAGCAGTGTGTGATGGTACATTTTCAGCCTGTGCATGACTTTTTTTTTTTTTTTAAATTAGGAACCTGACCTTAATGTTGATGATAGAAATATGGAAATAACTCCAGGGGAGAAGGTACTCCGGAACACCAAAGAGCAGCGGAATGAGCAAAATCGGCTTAGAGAGATAGATGAGAAGCTGAGAAAGATGAAGGAAAATGTAGTAAGTCTTTTTGTTATTTAAAGTTTAATTGTAACCAGTGATTGTATTTAAGAAGGTTCCAGTTTCCTTTGACTGTTTAAATATTCTATCGAAAGTTAGCAGGGACATCTGTAATACTTTCAACAATAAAGATAAGTTTTAAAAAGTTACTTCTGGAAGTTTAGTAACACTTTATACAAGAATATGAGATTTCCTTTTATATCTATACTATCTAGCTATCTATATGTTATCCTACTATCTATAGACCAGAGAATATATTTTCTAAGTTATAGCTTATGGAAATGGCTAATTTAACAGTTTTGTCTTATTCTTTTTATTGCAATAGAACATTGTTTTAAATTACTAATTTGGGTAAAAGAAATAATCTGTGACCACTGAGTTGGTGATTTAAGGACCAAGTCCATATTCAGTCTTAGGGTGGAAGAGGGAAAGAGTGAGCTAAGGGGTAATGTAGGAGTCCCGGGAGGGCGGAGCCACATGGAGCCTAGGCTTGATCTGTCAGTAAAGGCTGGAAAAGTGACCTAGTTCCGATGCACATTTGCCTTGGTTAAGGTTGGTTGAGGAAGTGGGATTTTATTTAGTCTGAAGGTGGTGGTAATGTTGTTGGTGTTGATGGATCTAGCTAGTGGGAACTGGGGAAAGTAGGCACAATGAAGTGAGGTAGGGGCTCACAAAGGTAGTAGGAAATTCAGTGGGTATGCAGGGGCCTTGGGCACCAGCTGCATAAGTATGGGGAGGATGAGCCATGCAGCCAGAAGCAGCATATTGAAACTACTCCTTCGGATCCACTCCAGGTGAGTCAACAATGTAATGTAGCCACTATGCTACACATTCAGGGAAAGGTAGTGAGCGCAGTGGACTGCATTTGGATAGTAAAGTGACAAGGATGAGGATGAGATTTAACACCAGGTCATATGAAGGATTGTTGATGGGAATGAGTGTATTTAGCTTGGCAAAGAAAAGTGTGTGTGTGTGTGTGTGTGTGTGTGTGTGTGTGTGTTTTGTGGGCAAGAAAGGGTGGGATGGTTTGGTAGAAAAATCACACATGATCACTTTCCAGAGATTTAAAGGACTATTATTTGAAGTATCACTTTCATTTTTTTATAGTGTAGGAAAAAAAATACGGTGGTTGGGAAAGAAAAAAGTTAGAATTATCTCAATGGAAATGGGCTGTCTCAGGCAAGGTTTTCAAATCAGACTGGAGTGACACTTTCTGGGTAGCTGTAGAGAAGGTTTAAGTGTGAAAAGGGTGGCTGAATGGTTCAGGTCAATTTCTCCAGCACAGGAGGCTGTTTGCACATGACAAGTATGTGGAGGTGCTGGGCTTCAATTTGTGCTGAGCCACTCACCTCTTGTCTAGTTGGTTCCCTTGGGGTTAGCAGTGTTGGCTTTGACCATGGATAAAGTTCCCTGGTCAGGCTAACCACTTGTATGGAGATGATTTGAGAAGGTAGAATGAAGAGAAAATGGAAATAGCCATACTCATAGAATAGGCAACACAAAACAAACCCCACAGATAACCTCTCAATCACTTGCCATACAGTGGGCTCTGGCACCTCTAACCCCTGAGTTTCCCATTGAGCTCAGAGAGTCACTTTCTGTTGTTTTGGGTACTCTAAAGGCTTCTCTGCCCATTCAGTCTTATAACCCCACTCTGCTTTATATTACCTCCCAGAGTTATAGTCCTGCATATTAGTTTCTGTAGATGGGATATAGTGGTTAAGAGCCAGGTACTGAAGCCACACTGCTTGGGTTTGAATCTCAACTCTGTGTGACCTTTGTCAGGTTTCCTGATCTCTCCGTGCTTCATTTCCTTTATCTGTAGAGTTAGGATAGTTATAATTAACAGTTACTTCATAGGCCATTTTGAAGGTTAAATTAGTTAACATATGTAGTCTGAAAAGAGTATGGCACATTGTTTTTTAATCTTCACCCAAGGATATGTTTTTATTGATTTTTAGAGAGAGACAAAGTGGGAGAGAGAGACAGAGACAGAGAAAGAGAGAGAGACAGAGAGAGAAACATCGATGTGAGAGAGAGACGTTAATTGGTTACCTCTCATACATACCCTGACCTGGAATTGAGCCGCAGCCTAGGTATGTGCCTCAAATGGGAATTGAACCTGCAACCTTTTGGTGTATGGGATGATGCTCCAACCAACTGAACCATCCGGCCAGGGCCAGGGTCTGGCACATTTTAAGTGCTATATAAATGTTTATTATTAGTATTGCTACTGATATTATTAACATTATTAATATGGCATTTGTATAAGCTGGCTTCTATGATAAGGAAGAGGAGGAAGTAGTATGGAGGATGAAATTGAAGTATAAGCCTTGGAGAAGAATCTAGATGCCCTTTTTCTGACTCTGGTTGAAAGAAGTGAAGGATGGGCCTATAAAAGCAGGTGTAGAGATGAACAGGAGGTGATAGAGGTCATGTCTGCATGTTCTCTGTTTAGTCTGTAAATTAGAGATCAAGCCATATGGTCAGAGTGAGAGGATAGAGTGGGGATGGGGTCTTGAAGCAGGGTAGGAAAGGATTGGAATAGAGTCTGTGAGGATGAGAAGAAAAACAATGGTGAACAATGAAGACAGTCCCATGGAGGTTGGAAACCAGAGCTATGAAATGGAGACAGTCAGCAAGGCCTGGAGTCTTCTCTGACAGCCCTCAGCTGTCCACCAGAAATGGAGAAAATGTGTCATAAGTTGAGGCAGAGGTGAGGGTAGGCTCAGTGCTTGCAGTGGAAGATCAAGGAGGCAAGGTGATTGGTACCTATGAGACCATAACTAAAATAAAAAAGCAAGAAATGTAATGTGTGTACCTCAGATATCAGCTGGGACCCCTTTGCCCTTCTTTGACCTGTTTTCATAACTTATTGTGTATACACACATTAGAATATCATATTGCTATAAAAGAATGAGGTCTATCTATATATCTTGGAACGATGCCTATGAAAAAGAGCCTTTGCATAAAACCATGATCAGTATCGTTCCATTTTTATTTTTTAAAAAATCATAGGAAAATTCTGGAATAATATATATGAAATGTTTAACAGTGATTGCTTGTAGTGATGGATGGGGAGGTGAAAAAAGGAAATTCACTTAAAAAAAAACATCCTCACCAGAGGATATTTTTTCCATTTATCTTTAGATAGAGTGGGAGGGAGGGAGGGAGGGAGAAAATTAGTAATATAAAGCAAAAATAAAAATTGTAGATAGAATGTAAGTATCAACTCTAATCATTTAATGTTTATGTGCATATATGCTGATAACAATCTGAAGGGAACTAGGATGTCTTTATAGCTTAGCCTTATTATTTTCCACTATCTATTAAATTGTCTTTATTTCTAAATAAAGGGGAGTCATACATAACTGAGGCAATTTTATTGTTTAATTATTTTATTTATATACATTTTAATTCTTTAATGTAATTATGTAATTTATTTTTTAATCCTCACCTGAGGATATTTTTTTTCATTTATCTTTAGATAGAGTGTAGGGGAGAGAGGGAGAGAGAGAGAAAAATCAATGAGAGAGACACATTGACTGGTCGCCTCCCACAAGAGCCTGACCAGGGCCGGGGACAAACTGCAACTGAGGTACGTGCCCTTGACCGGAATTGAACCTGCAACTCTTTGGTCCGCAAGTCAACACTCTAACCACTGAGCCAAATCTGCCAGGCCTGTAATTATGTAATTTTTGACTAAGTTAAATAGTAACAATAATTCATATTTGGTCTAATTTTTCTGAGATATTGAGTGTTCCATTCTGATAATAAGACTAATGGGATATTTTAAAAAATAAAGACCATCTTTAACTTCTTGGATTAGATAAAAATACCTTTAATGAAATTGCATAATAATTCTAACTTTCACAAATCAAAAGAATTCAACTTTAGTCTTGCATTTCTTTTCTTTTTATTTAATCTATTAGGGTGACACTGGTTAACAACGTTATCCAGGTTTTGGGTAAACAATTCCACAGCACTTCATCTATACACTGTATTGTGTGCTCACCGTCCCAAGTCAACCTCCTTCCATCACCATTTATTCTCCTATACCCTCCCCCAACTTCATTTCCCCCTTGTCCCCCAATCACGACACTGTTGTCCACGAGTTTTTTCTCTCTTTTTTCTTTTTCACTCAATCTCTCCACCATCCCCAGCTCCCTAACCCCCCACCCTGACAGGAAGAATCATCAATCTGTCCTCATCTCTTTGACTCCTTTAGTGATAAAATATTCTCAAAGATGTTTTGTTAGTATTATTAGAAAAAGCTCTCCACGGTTTCAATCATTCTAAATGCATTGACTATACTTTTTAGGTCTTTATTGTGTCTCTTTGATTCTCAGTGTGAACTTTATTCATTTTTTTCATCATTTGACGTCTCTACTATTTCTTACTACATTCTTTCCCTTTTCAGTTTCCTGGAAACCATGAGCTTGGCCTTGTTTGGTGAACTGCATTGTTATTATTACATCAAAATGTTTAGCACTCTAAGCCTTGTTGCTGGGCATTGTGGATAAGAATGTGGTACACAAAAGACGATAAGTCCTTGTATTCTGATTCTTATTTTGACATGTTCTTGCCATTTAACCTAGTATGAGAATACATGGACCCCAATCAGAAGACTGGAGAGTTTCTTCTGCTCAGTGAATGGACAGAGGGTCTACCTTCAATTACTAAACATGCCATAGAATTGGAATTATGGAATGTGAGAGCTGGAGGGGGCTCAGAGTTCATGTGGGCCAATTCTGTGGATTGGAAACCAGCCAGGAACAGCTAAATACTTTTTCACAGACTCACAATTAGTTGTAGACTTGGGCTAATCTCCAATTTTTTTGATACTTCATCCTGTGAACTTTTCATTAAATCCAACCTCTTTCAGTTACACCTGTGTAGTTCAGTTAATTTTAAGCTAAGATTTGGGACTACCTATAAATGTGGTCTCTTTTCTAAAAACCTTAACTGTTGCCAACTTAGAAAAGAGACCACGTTTATAC